GGCTTTAAAATGTGGTGTCAGTACTACTAATCAGTTGTCCTCTGAATATTTAGTGTTACAACTTGTCAAACGTTTAAAACCTTACCAAGCTGCCATATAAATGCATGCGAACGGGGAACAGCAAACTTGAATTTCTAATCTGGATGCAATATGTTGGTTAAAATGACTGGCCTGAGTACACTTGGACAAATGAGACCCAAGTTATGACTGGCTACAACTTGACCTAGCAAACCCATGCTTTCTGTAGTCTTAAGTGCATGAGCTGCTGGTATTGCCACACAGTTTGCAGGGAGTAAATGAAGAAAAGGGGCAGAACTTCTGGGTTTCAACTTTTGATTCAACTAACAAGTCCAACTTCAGTCCCTGAGGACTTCAGGCATAGCAGAGGTCATCACTTGGATGGCATAAAAAGACTGAATCACTCCAGCCTGATTCCAGAGTGAAGCTACCTATAGCCTTGTTCTCGTGTACTCAGCCAGGTCTTCAAGCTAATAACTGGCAGACAAAATGTCCATAAACTGAACATAACCGGAGCTCGCTAGCTCAACTCCAGAACCTGCATTCTTGAAAGCAGAATGCTCCCTTGGCGTTCTAGGGGATGTCGGGTGATTTTGACCTAGGCCAGTGAGGCTCACTCGGTCTCTTCTGGATGCAAGGCACTTTAAGCTTCCTAGAAGCATTCCCAAATGTGGATTTCTGACAATCTGGAGAGGTATTGACTTTAAGCCTTTCACCAAAAAAATGGTTTTGGCTTGGCTTGCTAATGCGAACCTCTTGACTCTAACAAATGCTTCAGGTGCCTCTACTGTGTTACCCCAGAAGGATTCCAGTGCATAATTCCTATTAACTTTATCCAGACTCACTACTTGACCCTGGAGTTGCTTGCTTGATGTGGGGAAGCAGATACTGTTGTAATAATAGTGGTAGGCTTTCAAAAAATGGGATGCTAGCTTCTCACCGTAAGGAGCTCAGTGATGGATATGAAGAGGAGAAATACCTCGGGTCCCAAATGCTGTTGGGCAGTCCTCCTTGGATTGCCATCTATAGGTGCTATGGCAGACTGTGAAAGATGTCTGCCGAGATGATCTCCACATGGAGTGAGGGCCAAGAGCAGTAGACTACCTCGCATACTGCCTCCAGTCTGGTATTGGGAGATGATCTTTACTTGGAATTGCTAGGTAGAAAGGATTACCATAAACCTTCACCTTTTTAAACTCCTTACTCTTGACCATGCTGTAGTAGAACTTGCTCACATTGGCACAATGCAATGGTTCCTTGAAAACAGTCTTTCATATTAACTCTCTTGAGATTAAACCTTGGCAGCATTTCCAGTTCCTGGAAAGTAGGCTTGCTCAGGCTTCTACACAGCCTCAACTGTCATACAGTGACAGCTGCACAGCTCTTAAGATGTTGGCCTTGCTCTTATTTCAGTACACCATGACTTGTTTATGGACTGTTAATAGCTCTTCAAGGAGTAGGAGATGAGTGTTAACATGACTAAATGTAATGGGCATCCAAAAGTGTAAGTCTCCCATTGCTTCTGACCTGGAGCTTTTGGGACAGCAGAAATGGTGGAGAGGAATGTGAGGAGCAAATGGAGACTTGATTAAAGAGTAGAAGAGACTGGGTTTTGTGCTTCCAACACTGAGTACAGTAGTTGGCTGGCTTGCTTCACAAACTGCTCTGTTTAGTTGAAATACAAACTATTCCAGAACTACTAACAACTGCTCTTGCTAGCTTCTCCCTCAATGAGGAAGCACCTCAGTCTGTGTCCAGCAACAGCTGCTGGCTTACTTTCATTAATTTGAATGAACTTGCTACTCCAGTTGTCTCCTTCATTACCACAGAAGGCCAGGCTCGAGATGAGTCGCATTGTAACAAGTACTGGTTTTGCTGAAAAATACCTTGTGATTGTACCTTTTTTACTTCCTTCCTGTTCATACAAAATGTCTCTTGCTCTCCTTAACCAAAAGCGAAAGTAGCCAAAGCTGGCCTCTTTTTGCCCCCTGAAAGGGGCTTGTCTAATGATGCAGGTTCTTGAATAGTCAAGGATGAAGGCATGCTAATTTTGGAGGTCATGTCTTGCTGCTCAAGCAGTGAATACAAGCATTAATCCTAGCAAGCTTTAATCATGATATAAGCATAAAGGTGCCTTACATGCACTTTACTCTTTTTATGCTTGCCCTTTACTAAGATGACTGCCATCTGCCAGGACTGATCTCGTATGGATAGAGTACATCTGAACTGAAAAACTGGCCTTGTGAGTCTAGCCAGACAGTCTGTTCTACACTGGCTTTGTGTTCAGTTTGGTAAGTTGAGTGCATGTCACCAGGCAACAGTAAAGTACCAGATATGGTCTCAAACTGGGTGTAACATAGGTGAATAGTAGTTGCCTGAGACTTCTAGACAGCTAGTGCAGTAAGTGCTGCTGAGCTGCCGTTCAGGCTCTAACTTCCAAGGTGCAGGGAAGAAGAACTCCCCCTCCAATAAGTTCTTCAGACAACTGAAGGTTAATAATGTGTTGTAACTTCTGGCTCTGCACTTGTGGTAAAGGGTGTAAGAGGTCTTGATTCATATCTGGAAATGTGAATGGTGACTGGTAAGGTGTGGCCTCAGGAATAGTACTTGCCCTTTGGCACTTCTCTAATGTATCCATTCAGTGCATAGTACTGACTGCAGGTGGAGTTTCCCCCATGTGCACAGGGTGCAGTGTGTGTGTGTGTGTGTGTGTGTGTGTGTGTGTGTGGAGATCATGGTACATCCCAAGCCCATGACTTAGTTGTGCAGTATAAATATAGGGGAGGTCTTAGTACTGGCTGCTGCTTTTTCTTTTTACCCCCTTTATGCCAGGAATGAACTAAATTATAGCAATTTTCTGGGTTCTAATGCCCACCTAGCAAAAGGTAGTGCTCCATATTGAAGAGATGTGTGAATAAAGGGACTCAACAGACTTGAGTTTCTATGAATCATTTGGTGCATGAGCCTTGTTATTGGAGGCCCCCATCTCAAGCCTGATTTGGGAGGCAGAAAGGCTAAATAACACCCTCATCCAAGTGAAGTGTGAGCATTTCTTGAAGGATTATGAATGGTTCTTACCTTGTGTTGTGCAAAAGGTTGCTAGGCTGTATCCTGCTGGTAAGTCTACCAACTGCAGTGAAGTGTTCAGCATGGTAACTTCCATGTTAAGAACAGTGTAGCCTCATTAGAGATGCAAAGCAGCAACTTGTAGCCTTAACACTTGTGTTGGCAACAGTAAAGTTAAGAGGGAGAGGCTTGACTGGGTAGGCCCAGGAGCAGGCTGTAATAACATGTAATCTCCAGCTGTCTAGGTTAGGTGTAGCTCTGAAGTACTCTTCCTCAAAGTGGTTTCCCTTCTTCAGGTCCTGGGAAGAAGGAACTACAATGAATTGCAATAAGCTGTGCAGTGCTCTATGTTTTTAATGGATTAAATGACTGTTTCAGGGCAAAGACAGACTTGCAAAAAAGAAACGTATATGCCTGCTCAGAGTGACTAGTTGTAGGCTGGGCTCCTATGGCCACATACAAATAAGAAAGAGCACAGTGCCTGGAAAGGCTGCTTTTCAAGATCTACTTGCAAAATGCACACATCTTGTGTGGAAGCAGGCTTGCATCCTGGAGAGCATGATGGTGCCCGGCAAGCACTAGGCAGAGTACCAGTTTTAAAATTCCTTCCCACCCCCTCTTTCCTTTTCCTTAAAGGTAAATCTCTTGTCTTTTGGGGTGGGGAGGATGTAGAAGACAGGAACCTATTCAAGACCTGTTTCCGATAGTGAAGCTCAATGTAGAAGGCTCATAATTCATAGGACATAAGTGGGAATCCTGCTCCTTTGTGACAGCTGTGTTTTTTGTATTGCACTCAAGCCCAGTAAACCATTCGGATTAAATTGCAGGCTGGACTAAACCCTTGAGCTACTCACTTAGTATTAGGCATGCTGATCTTTAAAGCATCCTCCATTCTCATGAGGAACTTGGTAGCTTCTGTTCACTTTCTCTTGGTGGTGTGAGCCAAAAAGCTGGGGTAGGGAAGTACAATGTGACACGCCTTCCTTTTATCATAGCATGCAAGTGAAGACTGGAACAGAGTGGCTAAGGTGGGGTTCCTTTATAAAGCATGTGCAAAGCATAGCTGATAAGAGGTGGTTAAACTGGCACTTCCCTCCCTCAGATAGTATTTGGCTTCCAAGTTTGAACTCTGGAATGAACCTTACTTGGCTCTCTTCTGGAACTATAGCATTTTAATTGCAATGGTTAAAGATGACTTGATTTAAATTCAGCCTCTTAAAGTAGCTATAGAAGACTGTCCTTTTAACTACTTGCCATCAGTAGGAATGTAAATAGCAACTCTTGATCCTCTTACTATAATAACTAAGCTTTACAAACCAAGTCTAACGCCATTCTACCTACTTGTAGGATGTAATAAACTGACAGATGGGCTTGAACTGTGCTTTAGTGTGGGGGGGTGGGGGAAGGAATAAAAAGAAGCCCTCTGCTGTTCCAATACCTCAACCTCTAGCAAAGTTGGACATGCACTTCTGAAATCTGGATTACTGCATTGGCTACACTCTTTTTGAAGGGGGGGTGGGAAAAAAAAATTCTTAAATACTAGAAACCTAAAAGGAAATGGGCCTTGCTGTCTTCAAGGGTTTGAACTAGATTTGAAAACCATGTTGTGGATAATCCTGAAATGTAATCACTTACTACCTCAAAATTATGCCTTTTTTTGTTATAGTTTTTTAGAATGGGTCTTAAAGATCATCTGCATAACAAGTCCCCTATCAATTTCTAGGTTTCATGAAGTCCTTACTGCTAGAAACACTAACGTAAAGGCATACAATTTGATTTTTAGATAATCAAATTGGTAAGGAGACACTAGATGAAGCTTTTAGGGCAGTGAAGTGCTTTGGATTTAAGCCTGGAGTCTTCAACTTAATGCTTATTACGTTTAATCTAACCAACTGAACTTTTTTCTTTCTCCCTAGCTCCAGAACCTGGGTATCAACCCAGCTAATATTGGTTTCAGTACTCTGACAATGGAGTCAGACAAATTCATCTGCATAAGAGAGAAGGTAGGAGAACAAGCGCAGGTGGTGATCATTGACATGAATGACCCCAGCAATCCCATTCGCAGACCAATTTCTGCTGACAGTGCTATCATGAACCCTGCCAGCAAAGTCATTGCACTGAAAGGTATGAAACAAACTTCTTGTTCAGCTTACTGTATTGTGCATCCTCTTGTATAAACTCTGGTTCTCTTTCTAAATATGATTCATTCCATCCTCAGATAGAGGAAGGCTTAATCAAAGCACTTAATATCCTGTCCTTCCCCCACTTAATGAATGTTGTCCTTTTTGATACTGGTCTCCATTCCCTGGGGATAAGGAACAATCATTAGACTTGCTATCCTTCCCTAAGCTGGTCATTCTGACTTGTTGACTGAACTTGCTGCTCAGCTGCAGCACTTCAGTAATGACTTGCTAGCCACTTCAGCATTGGGCTGAAGATGGGTGTTGAATGACCAAGATGGAAATGTGAAGTATTTGGTCTGCAGACTTGTAGATTTCTGTAAACTAGTTGCAGACAACTACTAACAATATGAAATCAAGGGGGCGGGGAACAACTTAAGCAAGCTACCTCTCTTAGGCTGCAGAAGCTTAATAAGCCATCTTGCTGATGACTTCCACTGTGGATGGTCAAAGTTGCACTTTTTAAATGTGGTGATTTTTTTTTTTTTTTTTTTTTATTTTTTTTTTTTTTTTTTTTAATTTTTTGTTGTTGTTTTTACACTCTACAGTAAGAGTACTCAAATGTCACTAAGAGGGACTTGCCTAGAAAGGCAAATGATCAGTTTGCTCTAAAGCAAAAGTCCTAATTATGACTCTGATCTAAATAGCCCTCTATCTACTGTCCTATACTGTTTAGACTACTTAATATTGTCTTTCTGACTTTAATATGATGCTATTTTGTTTGTCACAACTCTAATGCTTGCTTGTGTATGCAGATGGTGAGTTACCTCAATTTGGATTGTATTGTCTTTGTCCTGTTCTATGAAAAGAGAATGCAAAAGACCTAAAGACTTGTACCATAGACCCTATTGTGTAAGGCTAGATGGAGGCCTGCATGCTCAAACCTGGGGAGCTTCTCTGGTAGTCATCTCAAGATTAAGGAAATGGAAGCATTTGCAAAACCCATACCTTGGAAACCTCCAGTTTTGGAGTGCACCTAGTCTAAAGTAGTAAATCTAGGTCGTTTTCAGGCTTTTTATAAACAGGACTGATTCTTAGTGTGCTTTGCATATGTCTATAGGATGGAGACTAAAGTAGAAACTTTTGTTCCCTTCAACAAAAGGAATAGCAATTTGGGGTGGGGAGATGCAGGAAAAAAACCTGGTGCTAAGCTGTATGTAAAAATTAAGTGAACTGTTGGTGTCTACCTGATAGTTCACAAACTTTGGTGTTCTTTGCAGCTCATGTGAAGCATGCTGCTTGCCTGTTTCAGTACTTTTATTACTCCAAAACTATTGCACATTTTAATGTAGTCATTGTTGCTAACCAGCTCTGGTATTTGACTAATGCCTTCATGTGGCAGTTCACTACTGCTTAAGCCTTTTAACCCTGAGCTCCCACTAAATGTACAATGCAATTAGTTGTCCTTAAAATGGCTGCCTTGCCATATCTTGGTGTTTTGCATTCTGATACCATTATACATATTAGTAAAGGGTATAGCTGGAACTGTCCTGCATAGGCCACTAATACTTTAGCAGTAGTTTTTAACCAGAATTTTTTTGACGTTACTCATCCTTCTTTTGAAAGGGAAATGAGCATAGTGACTCCTTGGCATATGTTAGTTCTCATGTAGAATGAGTCTTAATCTGGCTGTGGGTGGCAACATCATGATTTTTGGACACTTGCTCTTCCATGCAATTCAAAGCGCTTCCCCTTCTCTGCCTTCTTGCTCTCAAGTTTTTTGCATTGGTCCCTTCCTCCTTCCCTTCCTCCCTTCTGTTAACTTCTTGCACCCAGATCCTTTGATTTAGTTCCTCTTAGCCTGTTCACTTCCCAAACCCCTAGTCAGTAAGCTAAATAGAACCAAGGGGAAACCCTGGCAAGTGCCTGCTTCTGACTCACTTCCTTTGTGCTTTTCTGTACTTGGATGACATGACTTTAGTCTACCCGAATATCAAAATTCCAAGGTAGTCAGTTGGTTCAGTTCTTAAATACTTGCTTTCCAAAAGTGTACAAGCACCTCATTTTTAAATTCTTAAGCTTTTTCCAACATCTGTTCAAGAATGGGTTAAACGGCCAATATTGAGCAATAGCTGTATATAAGACACTATTGCAATACAGCTTTAAGCACTCTGGCTAAATGCCAGCTGATCAAGGGCTTAAACAAGAAGAATACACTAATAGCAGCCTCCAAACAAGGCAGAATGCCAAGGATAACTTCATAATGCAGCTACTGTATTTCAACCAATAGCAGGTACCTGGAAGGGAGCTGGCAGTTTAACTTTTTTAAACTTTGTTTTTTAGCTGGGAAAACCCTTCAGATCTTTAATATTGAGATGAAGAGTAAAATGAAGGCTCATACCATGACAGATGATGTGACCTTCTGGAAGTGGATCTCTCTGAATACTGTTGCTCTTGTGACTGACAATGCAGTCTACCACTGGAGTATGGAGGGAGAGTCTCAGCCGGTGAAAATGTTTGATCGCCATTCTAGCCTCGCAGGCTGTCAGATCATCAACTATCGTACAGATGCTAAGCAGAAATGGCTTCTTCTGACTGGCATATCTGCGCAGGTAGCTACATTATTTTAGGGAGTCCCAAACTTGATTGCTCTCTTTTTGAGTGTTGGGATTTCTCTGCCTGGCTTTGAGGAAAGCTGTCTTATATGGTAAATTATAGTAATAATGGGCTATAATGTATGGCTTGAAGGTTTGGGTTTTTTTGTTCTTTACTTAAATCTTATTTGAACTTTGAGGACCTCCTTATTCTGCATGTTAGTGTCCTGGTTGGGCTCATAAGTCTCATTGCACACTGTATTAGAACTTGGCTAGTAAAAGGAATGCTCGTGATCAGCATATTCCTGTGAAGTGGCTCCTCATATGAGAGGACTTAATGTACAGTATGGTAAGGTCATTCTGGAGGAGAAAATACCTTTGACTTGTCTTCTCCATATTTTTGTCCTAGCAAAACCGTGTTGTGGGAGCAATGCAGCTTTATTCTGTAGATAGAAAAGTGTCCCAGCCCATTGAAGGGCATGCAGCTAGCTTTGCACAATTCAAAATGGAAGGCAATGCTGAGGAGTCGACTCTCTTTTGTTTTGCAGTAAGAGGACAAGCTGGGGGCAAGGTAAGATCTCACTTTAAAAGCTGTTTCCTTCATGGGGTACAGTGGGGGCAGGAAGGAAAGTTCCATAGCTTGTTCACATGCTATAACTAAGTTCTTGCGGACTGTTTAGCTGCAAGCTTTGCTCATCTGGGCCACTAACCCTCCTTTTGGGAAGAGGTACTTGATCAAATAAATCTGGAAGTTCTAGGTGAACCTTTGCCCTCAAAAGACTTTACACATGAGCTTATGCTAAAGCTGGGAAGCAGTATCTAAGTCCATTGAGGAAAGCTAATGATTCTCCTGAAGGCATACAACATACTAGCTGTATAAGGGGCCACACGGCTTCTTGGCATATTTTGGAGCCAAGCATGCAAACCTCCAGCTGAAGTGAACAACTCCCAGTGCTGCTTTGGCTCTTCCAAAGACTTGGTATCAGTCTGCTAAAGTACTGCATTTTTTGGCTTTGCTCTTGACACTAAGTTACCAGGTGGCACACACTTTGAGGACTGTTAGGAGCTGAAGGCAAAGCCCTCAAAAGCTGCTTAGAGTAGAATGGAAAGTCCATGACCTGCAGAGGACTTGAGTGGAACTAAATCGGTCTGAGGGTTTAGTAGTTGGCTGACAATACTATAACTGCTAGTGAGCTCTATTGGTTGCTTTAAGTGACCAGTGAATTAAGCTTAGTTTTTGAAGAATGCTGTCGGGTTGGAGGCAGTACAGAAGTAGCCTGTCCTGTTTGTCTACTTATTTAGCATCTACTAAACAGCAGCCAGTGGCAGTCCTGCTGCCAAGTTTTTTAGCTGGCCAAAGACTAACTGCTCCCAAACTACTAGAGAAATTAACTCTTTGCATGGCGAGACAAACCTCTTCATGTGGCTTCGTTCATAATGAGGGGTATATCTGCATAGCAGTGTCTTGCATAATCTGAATATACTCTAGTAGTGACTTCTCTTGCAAAGCATTGACTGTGCTAGGTAAGATCCAGGTGGCTGCTCCATCTGTGTACAAACTTGCAAGAAACCTACAGAATTAATCTAATGTCTGCTTTTTTGCAGTTGCATATCATTGAAGTTGGCACCCCACCAACAGGGAACCAGCCATTTCCAAAGAAAGCTGTGGATGTGTTCTTTCCTCCTGAAGCACAGAATGACTTTCCTGTAGCAATGCAGGTATGACTGAATCTACCTCTGCATCTTCATTCTGTTAGTCCAGCATACTTCTCCAGCAGGTGTAACTATGTAGAAGTGCATGTACCAGCTGAGTTGTCTGAGGCCACAACATGAAAGGCTTTCACCACTAAGTAGCCCTAAAGAGTAGTGGGGGTTTTTTCTCCCTCCAGCTCTGGAGTAGAAATGTGGTAGCTCTAACTTGGTGTGCTGTCAGTTGCTATTTACCTAGTTGTACATGCACACAGTTGTGGAATTTTCTTGTTTTTGGTTTTTTGGCAGGGGAAATACCTGGATTTGAAGTGAGGGCTTACAAACATGTCAAGTGTGCCTGCTCTTACTATACTTCATTAGGAAAGCCTCATGGCCAGCCTATTAAATTCACCAAAACAATAGGACTACCAATTAGTCTAATATTAGACTAACCTGTGAGCCCCAAAGCCAAGTTCTTGGTTAAAACTTTTGTCTTGCAGATCAGTGATAAGCATGATGTGGTATTCCTGATAACAAAATATGGCTACATCCATTTGTATGACCTTGAAACGGGCACCTGTATCTACATGAACAGAATTAGTGGAGAAACCATATTTGTCACTGCACCACATGAAGCAACAGCTGGAATCATAGGAGTTAACAGAAAAGGACAAGTAAGGAAATGCTTTCCATGGACAACTTTCTGAGCTGCTTAATTACAGGATGGGGATGGATGGGTGGATGGAAATGACTGCTAGGCACCGTAACTAAAGTCTTACAAATTGCTAATCAAATGATGCCCCCTTTTTAGGGGAAGGGTGGAATATATACTTAGGTCTGGTCTTCCTTTTGAATTACCAGTCCCCTCTTAGTATTTGACCTGTTCCAAAGACTTTCATCGAGTTTCTATGTGGCAAGCAATAGGTTTAATGAATATTTTCAGCTGAGTAGCATTAGTAGCTTAACATTACTGACCTTAATGCATTCTGCTCCCTGCTATCAAATGGGGGCCTGCCTGCAGCTTCAGTCTGGGTATGTGGGGAAGACTCATGGGCAAATAAACTTGCATACAGGCCTCTACTTGGTGAGAGTCTAATTGCTGTACAGTGATCATGACTGCCTCTTCTAGGTGTGTTCCTCACATTAAAAAATGAGGTGAAGGTTCACACTTTTAAGTAGAAAGGACTTTGGCACTTTTTTTTATTGGCCTAATCAAAGGCTCTTAATACTTATTTGCCACGGTCACAAAGGGATTGACACAACTGGGTATGTCTTATCCTTTCTGTGCAAGAGAGAATAAAGGAATGATCAACTGCACAGTGCATCAGTTAACAGCAAGCAGTTGACAGTAAATGCATATTCTCCCCCTTCCCCCTTCCCTCTGCTGTCTCTTTATTCAGGTGCTTTCAGTATGTGTGGAAGAAGAGAACATCATTCCTTACATCACTAATGTGCTGCAGAATCCTGACCTGGCTCTGCGGATGGCTGTCCGCAATAATTTGGCAGGAGCTGAGGAACTGTTTGCTCGTAAATTCAATGCACTCTTTGCACAAGGAAATTACTCCGAGGCAGCCAAGGTGGCAGCCAATGCACCAAAGGTAAAGTTCCTAAACAAACCTTAAAACTGTGTGTGTGGTGTTTTTTTTTTTTTATTTTTATTTTTTTTTATTTTTTTTTATTTTATTTATTTTAGACCTGCTTGCTTTCCTCTAAAGAAGTCGCAGACTGCCTGCCCTAAAACTACAAGGGCAGACGGATAATGCACACTTCTTCTTTTATCTATTGCAGGGAATCCTGCGTACTCCAGACACCATACGCCGGTTCCAGAGTGTTCCTGCTCAGCCTGGTCAGACTTCTCCCTTGCTCCAGTATTTTGGAATCCTGCTGGACCAAGGTCAGCTGAACAAGTACGAGTCTCTGGAACTCTGCAGGCCAGTACTTCAGCAGGGACGCAAACAGCTGCTGGAGAAATGGTTAAAAGAAGACAAGGTACAGCCAAAATCTGCATCCCTTTTGGAAAAGCTGGTGGGGAGGAGAGGGTAGTTTCACAAGTTGGAGTGGGCTTTCTTTCTAAGTCCTTGCACCTGTGAGAAACTTACTTAAGCTGTTTGACCTTTTTTTCTTAATGTTTTATTTGTGAGACTTGGTTCCAGGCTCTTAGGCCATGGACACTGAACAATCCAGTGGGGGGGGTGTGCACATGTGCGCACGCAAGGATACCCCTTAGCTGGGAGAAGGCTTCTGAAAAGTAATAATCAGGAAGTGATACAGTTTACTCACTTGTTTATTCTATCAAGTGCTGCAGCCCTCTAGAGAGGCAAGTGTTAAATCTAGGTGATTTGTGGGCCATTACCACTAGGTCCATGAGTGAATACTGCTGGCTGGGGTCATAACCACTTGCTAAGATAATGTAGTTAACAGGCCTCTAATAGCAAAAGGAAAATCTGGTTTCCTCACTTCCTATTCTAGTCTCCTGCTAGCTTAGCTTTCAGTGGAAGGGGGTTGGGCCATGTTGGCTCTGTGGTGCTGAATTTATTCTTGACTATCTTTTTCTCTCTGTAGTTGGAGTGCTCAGAGGAATTGGGAGACCTAGTGAAGTCTGTTGATCCTACACTGGCACTTAGTGTCTATCTGAGAGCTAATGTTCCTAACAAAGTCATTCAGTGTTTTGCTGAAACTGGACAAGTCCAGAAGATAGTTTTGTATGCCAAGAAGGTGAGCATGTCTAACTTGGTTTAGACAATTGCTGTGCTTGGTATCCTAATCCCTTTTGGGAGCACAAGGGAAATATAGGAGTTAAAGAAAATAAGTTTTTTGTTTTTGGGGGGGGGCAGCATAACTTTGGTTTTTCAAAAAACCCCAAAACTGTCAGACTTAAAGTCAACAATTCATTAACTTTAAGAATGAAGATTAGAACTGAAATTGGACTTCTCTATGCCTGTCCTCAACTTGCGTGCTCTTAATGGACACAAGCATACAGTGTAAAAATTGTTCACTTATCAGATACTGGAAGTTGTTCTTTGAGGGTGCAGGGATGCCAGATTTTGGCTTTTTAGCTGCTACTTATACACTACACTCGCTGTGGTTTCTTTGGCAGGTTGGATATACTCCCGACTGGATTTTCTTATTGAGAAATGTCATGCGCATCAGCCCTGATCAAGGGCAGCAATTTGCTCAAATGCTGGTTCAGGATGAAGAGCCTCTTGCAGATATCACACAGGTAAAAAAAAAAAATCTGCTGAAATAACCTTTTTTGTCCTTAAAACTGCTTGTGGAGAGAGTGCTGTTGCCATACAAATAGTATTTTAACTTTCTGCAACCAAACTTGACCATGTTGACTTGGCAGTTGGGATTGACAGTCCTTGTAAGAAAGAGAGCATGCTAGCTACAAGCCCAAGCCTGGACTGCATATTTCTCCTGCTCTGAAAGCATGTTCTCTCTAAGTGATGGAGATAATATTGCTTAAGGGATAGCAAATTCTTGCTGGATCTCTTGGTAATCCAGAGTTGTTTATGATTCTTATGCATCTCTTGGTGACAAGCCTAAATAGCATACCTTTCTTGCAGATTGTGGATGTCTTTATGGAGTATAACTTAATTCAGCAATGTACCGCCTTTCTTTTGGATGCACTGAAGAATAATCGTCCCTCTGAGGGTCCCCTCCAGACGCGCTTACTTGAAATGAACCTCATGCATGCACCTCAGGTATGTCCTGTAGATACTAAGCTAATGCAGAACAGGCTTCTGTACCTGGTAACTAAACTGAATCCACCTGTCAGCTTGATTTTTAGTTGTTCATAGCCACACCACAAAAATAGTGCTTGGCTTTTTAACTGGTGTTGCCTCTACCAGATGTTTACAACACAACATAACCCTTAATTCTGGGCTACGTGGAAAGTGTGCACAGCCTAGTTTATATACAACTAAAAACTTTCGTATGCCAACTTTTGTTTTATTTATTTTTGCACTGAGCTTGACTGTATCGACTATTTTGATAGTTAGGCTGGAGAGCTTGCTGTTTAACTTTTATAGCCCAAGTGGCTTTCCCTGAAAAAGCTGTAGCAAGTCTAAGCAAACTGCCCCATTCTAACTTGGGCATATCGGATAGCTGAGAGTGGTTGGCTGTCATAAACGGCACTGAACTTGTTTGCTTAAATCCATAAGTCGAACTGGAGGGAAAAAAAAAATACAACCTAAACTTTCTTGTTCTGACTGTCTTCTAGGTTGCAGATGCCATCTTGGGAAACCAGATGTTTACTCACTATGACAGGGCCCACATTGCTCAGCTCTGTGAGAAAGCTGGCTTGCTGCAGAGAGCACTAGAACACTTCACTGACTTGTATGATATCAAGCGTGCAGTAGTTCATACTCATCTTCTCAACCCTGAGGTACAGAAACATAATTCTTGTATAGTTTGGCCAGGATTACCATGTGAGGTAATCTTAATACTATCGCAGCATGCTATAATTGGAATCCTTTAATTGCTTTTTTCCTCTTGCAGTGGCTAGTGAATTACTTTGGCTCCCTCTCTGTAGAGGACTCGCTAGAATGCCTGCGTGCTATGCTGTCTGCTAACATTCGTCAAAACCTGCAGATTTGTGTCCAAGTAGCTTCAAAATACCATGAACAGCTCTCAACACAGTCACTCATTGAGCTGTTTGAGTCTTTCAAGAGCTTTGAAGGTAAGACTTAAGCAAATCGCACCTACTAGGAATGTACAAATGGGTCACCTTCTGAATACTAACACTGACAGTGGCTAGTATGCAAGGCTGGTTCTACTTGACAAACGGCGCAATGCAAAGTGTTCTGGTTTGAAGAAGAGAAATTCAGACTGCTTTTTCTTTTAGCTAGTCATGGTTACTCTGTCACATCTCTCAACTCCTTTACTGCATAAAGAGATTAAGTGTTGGCATAGCAAAAAAGGAAAACGCAACCCTCCCATCTTTCTGTAAGACCTCTGCCACACAGTGCGTCCAAGGAGCACTTTTTTTGGAAGCACAGCTCTGACTAGAGTTTTTATCCTGCACTATACTTGCAGCTCATGAAGCTGAGTAGCATGGATTAAAAACTTGAGTATTGTTGAGGTGGGTCAGTGACTGAATAAACCTGAATGTCTTGACACAGAACAATGTAGCTGTGAGGGCCAACTGGAGCTTTGTAAGTGACTTGATTTTAAGCCTTCGGTGTTTCTTCTGTAAGGCATGTGGTGTTCTTACTTAACTGGCTGTAATGAGTTGCGTGTGGCATCTTGCCTGAGCTGTACTTCTTGGGGATCTTTAAACTTGCCACCAGCTCCTAGGCAGGTCTCTGGCAGCATAGTGCCCAGCCTGCGTATTCTGGAGAGCCTGCAGAGCTTTGGCCACCATTCCACTTTGACTTGACCACTACCTAGATCATCAGGTAACATGAGGTGTCAAGAACTACCTTTGCTAACAGCCTCCAATGCTTACAGGAGGTGCATTAAGCTTTGTTACATGTCACAGCTTGACTTTCTTTTTTTTCCTGCCAAGGTTTATTTTATTTCTTGGGTTCCATTGTAAACTTCAGCCAAGACCCAGATGTGCACTTCAAATATATTCAAGCTGCATGCAAGACGGGCCAAATCAAAGAAGTTGAAAGAATCTGCAGAGAAAGTAACTGCTATGATCCAGAGAGGGTTAAAAACTTTTTGAAGGTAAAGAGTCCTAGATAGCACTGAAATGCTAACTTGACTACACCTTATGGGTGGTAGAATAGCCATGCCATTTTAAACTGACAAAACTAAGCATATTACATTTACAGCAGTGGTTTGTTTTTTGGTTTGGTTTTTTACTTAAGGGACCAGTTTTATCAGGGCACATCTGCAGCCCAAATTAAGAGGATGTAGGAAGGGCACTGCTGAAACAATACCTAAACTTAATGTTACCTGCTGCCCTGTTTAATATAGCTGAACTTCTTTAAAAATTGGTATGTGGTGCCATTTATCGCTTTTAAGAATGAGCTTTGAATGGCTGACTCTGGGAGAACTGGTAATTTCTGCTGCCTTAAACTCTTCCTTTCAACTTCTACTTAAATTTAACTATTCATATCAAGAGGAAGTCTGCTAATTGCTCAATAGAAAGCGATCTGGATGCTGTGGCTACATGTGCTGTTTTTGACAAGACTTTGAAAGGAGGTGTGACTCCTTTTAAGTCTTGGTACTACTGAGGGTGCAACACATGCCACAAGCAAGTAATATGCAGTGCTTTTTTTTCTTCTTTAAGTATAATGCTCTTTCAGAAGCTTGCTTGATTCACCTTCTACTTAGCCTCCTAAGTGAGGCCTCACTTATCCAAGACAAGGAATCCAAATTGGAAGCTATAAGAAATGGAATTTTCCCAATTTTGAACTTGCTTATTTGACTGCAGATTTGAAGCAAAAATCAAAGTATGGTCTGACTGAAGGGTGGGAAGATGTGTCAAGATTTTCTCTGTAGCCAGGGGCATTGTATGTCTTTCCAGTTTAAGTTTTTGGTTTTGTTTAATGGGGTTGTCTTTCGTTTAAGCAAGGCTACTGCTTTTTTTAAAAAAAAATAAATAAATAAAAAAAGTCCTCTCTGGGGACACTTAGTGCCTCATGGTTACTGTAGCTTCTAGCTATCTAGTAGTGTGATGTCTTGGTGTATGTAGTGATAAGCCTACTATGCCATCAAGATTTTGCTGTAGCATCTGCATGTAGCAAAATCTTCAAATCTAGCGTTTCAGAAAACTAGCTATGTTGCAGTCAGTGGGGGAAGATGGTACAGAACTGAGCAGACACTAAACCAAACTATCCTCAATGAATGGTAGAAGGCAACCCTGTCAACAAGTTCCTGATGGAAGCTGTTGTTTTTTGTGCTGTTCCCTATGTCTGGAATGTGCAGGACATGTACCAGGTAAATCTTCCAATATAGGTCTCCCCAGTATTAATTCCTTTTTATGTCCACTTGTATGTAGGATTTATATTCTGGGATGTGCAGTGATGAAACAATCACTGACTTTTTTTTTTTTTTTTTAAGACCATGTATACTGATGTTCTAAAAATGACTGGCTTCTGTAATCTGGCTTAACAATTGGCTTAACTTTTTTTTTTATGGCACAACTTCAGCAGGTATCTAGAAAGATATGAAGAGTACTGATACATGCCCTGACTTGGACATTGGCAGTTATAGTCAATGATGAATTGGCTTTGCATTACACATGCAGGTTAAGAGAATCAACAATGCATCCTGTTCCAATTCAGATATAGGATTGGGTTTCCTAGTGACTTGCTGAAAATTTCTCAGTTGAAAAGCAGAGTAGTGCAAATTTTAAAGCATGCCTAGCTGGTAACACTATCTCTTCAAATCTAGTTAAATCTTTTATGCAATCCCAGAGTGTTAATCCTGCACACTGGAAACCCATGGCAGTTCAGAAATGCTAAAATATAGCATAGGCTTGTAATTTTGTCCTGTCTGTGAAATAATACTTGTAGACATGGGCATGCTGAGGACTTTTTGACCTTCAAACAGCTTTTTGCTCTTGACATTGGGCTGGTGAAACTCTCACAATTTGGTATAGTTTCTAAGGAACTGGGAGCAGTTTAATATGCCATTGGTATCTTTTTGTGATCATCAATGTTATGTTGGTTTAGGTCTCCCCAAGCCAAACTCCAATAACTTGTTTAGTATTGGATCACAAACTCTTCATCATTTTAGATGTGCCCTGTTAACTTGCAGATTTTAAATAAAGGAATTCATAACATCTCTATTTATTTATTTATTTATTTATTTATTTATTTATTTTTAGGAAGCAAAACTGACTGACCAGTTACCACTTATAATTGTGTGTGATCGCTTTGATTTTGTCCATGATCTGGTACTGTACCTGTACAGAAACAATCTTCAAAAATATATAGAGATCTACGTACAGAAGGTAAGAATAAGACCTTGAGTACTTGAAGTTTATTCAAGTTGCCTTAATGTAACAAAATAGCTTCTTAATGTAGCATCTAGATGTCACAAGGACGTTCATGGATGCAGATATGAAATGGCAATGTCTCTCTCAAGCTTGTCATCAAAACCAGCTCCCAAACCGATCAGATCTACCTCCTAGCTTACTGTTGGACTTGATCCCTACCTACTTGTGCAAATTACCATACAGTACAGTCGCGTCCTACACGCATTTAACTTGCGTGAATTCAACTTTTACGTGGTGGGGGGGGCTTCAGGTAGCGGTGGGAGGTTTTGGTGGTGGCCACAGCTCCAAGCACGGCTCTGCAGCGGGAGGTTTTGGAGGCAGTAGCAGCAAGTCAAATTGCTGGCGGTCTGACTGCGTGATTTTTCTCCTTGTGTGATGACCTTGGAACCTAACCCCCACAAGTTGCGACACGGCTGTACTTCACATGCCTTGTTGGGGGCATGGGAGTATGCACATGCCTCTTGCAGGGTAGAATATCACTTTTCTAGAACCATGGGAAAGCTGACAGTAACATCATCTTCTGCAAATGGTGTCCAGAAGTGTGGCACTTCAGGGAGATGGTCTGGGTGAAGCACCAGAAACTTCCTGGTATGGCAGGAGGGCAGCAAGCCAAGGCCCCAGGCCCTCAGAAGGACAGTAACAAGCCTGTTTTTAACTTCCTGTAAATAAAGCATTTCTGTGCCAAGCTTCATCAAGATCAGACTGTGCTGTAGCTCACTTGCCCTGAGCCAGCTCAACTGCTGCTTTGGGCATAAACTCCAGGGTTCTGCCAATCACTAATGCAAATTCCTTAGTGGTCGTGAGAGGGTGAACGCTGCACTCTGCCCCAATCTGGTTGCTGGGCCAGATGAGCAGGAGCTATTTGTGCAGCCACTGGAGCACAGTGCAGGAAAATCGGCTTCCCCATGCAAGGCATGCACCCCACCTTCTTTTGGAGGGCTGATGGGGAAGGAAGGGGCATATGGTATGCCAGCAATGAACTTTTGAACAGCTTCTTCCATCTGATGTGGAAGATGAAGGAATTGCTTTACTAATTCTGGTAGACTTTTTAGGGGTTACCTTGAACCATCCTTCCTAGAGTGCAGCACACTTATCTACTCAATCATACTCTTGGGCATAAGGATTTCAAATAAAGAATCCCAAGCCTATATGACCCAACTTTCAGAAGGAGCCAGCACCCCAACATACCCTGCCCCCCCAAAAGGAATATGGCCTAACAAGTCCTTCCCACAAGAACTGAAACATGGTTGACAACTAGCCCTCTTGCTTTGAAGGCTTGTTAGTCTTGTCTCATTTATCAGCTAACAGGCAGATACTGTAGATCTCAAACACTAGGCCTCGGACTACTAGAAAACTTCAATGCTGAATTTCCATCAAGATGCTCAGTGCTCCTGTGCCTTTTTGTTGTCATGTTTAGCAGGAAGGGTAGCCATCCTGTGCTTTCTCCCAGCAAACCTGCTTTTTCCTAAAGTAGTTTTCTTGTCTTAGGTAAATCCAAGCCGTCTTCCTGTTGTCATTGGGGGACTGCTTGATGTGGATTGCTCTGAAGATGTTATAAAGAATCTGATTCTTGTTGTGAGAGGCCAGTTCTCAACTGATGAGCTTGTTGCAGAAGTAGAAAAAAGAAACAGGTATTCTTCCTTCCCAATGCACACTAATGGGACTTTAGTACTTGGTTCTCTCTCTCTTTTAAACCTAATGGGAACCTTGGGCCATACATTGGCTCATGAATAAGCCTTAACCTAAAGTAGCCTAAGATTAAAGTCTAGCTTAAGAACCAATCTAGCTATGTCAAAGTTCATTAAAGTCCAACTTGGGGATGTGCAGCAGTTTTTGTTTGTTTGTGAGGTGGGGGGGGAGTGTTCTGTTCTGGGGGGTGGCTTTCTTTATTTCTCCATACCTCAGAAGGGTAACTCAAAAGGTTGTGCAGTATCAAGAACTGATCAAAAGGTCTTTAGCTTCCTCTCAGCTTTCCACTAATGTCTTGTCTTGTATGGGGTAGCTGACAAGAAGAGAATTTCCTCCATTGAGCATGTTGATAATTCTCTGGTTGCTTGAAGGCCTGACTACTATTCAGTTGTTTGGTTTTTGTGTTGAATGTCTTGTCTTTCCTTTTTAGAAAGCAACAAAGTAGATCTTTAAGTTCACAAAGAAGACGCAGATCTTGGGCTTGTGGATCCTACAGCCTTATTCAAACTTTCCTTTTTTCTTTAGGCTGAAACTGCTTCTACCTTGGTTGGAAGCAAGGATTCATGAGGGTTGTGAGGAGCCTGCTACTCACAATGCATTAGCCAAAATATACATAGACAGTAACAACAACCCAGAAAGATTTCTCCGTGAGAATCCTTATTATGATAGTCGTGTTGTGGGGAAGTACTGTGAGAAGAGAGACCCTCACCTGGCCTGTGTGGCTTACGAGCGTGGGCAGTGTGACTTGGAGCTTATTAATGTAAGTGTTAGCAACTTAGTCTTACAAAATTCTCCTTGATGCAAAGAGGCCTGTGTAAGGAAGGGGGGAAGAGCCTTGCTGTAAGTGAATAGTTCATTAGTGTATATGATATTTAATGCCCTAGGACTGTGGTGCAGTTGGTACCATAACCAAACCTGTCCAATGAAACTGGCGCACATATTTTTGTGGAATGTGCTAAACTTCTGGCATTACCTCGGTGAATGTTGTCTGACTTGCTTAAGCAGTGGTGCAAGGCAACAGCTTGGCTAAAGACTTCAGGGCCAACAGAAGTATCTGAGGAACCTTGAAGCTAATCCCTTCTTTCCTTTTTATAGGTATGCAACGAAAACTCACTCTTCAAGAGCCTTTCACGTTACTTAGTTCGCCGCAAGGACCCCGAGTTGTGGGCCAGTGTGCTGTTGGAAAGCAACCCTTACAGAAGACCACTTATTGACCAGGTATGGTCCCAAACCTCATTCTCCCTAATGAGAGCTCAAGTTGTAGCTGAAATCCAATCTGTGGCTTAATGACTGGCCTAATTGATGTCAATAGGTTGTGCAGACTGCACTGTCGGAGACTCAGGACCCTGAAGAAGTGTCTGTTACTGTAAAGGCTTTCATGACTGCAGATCTTCCCAATGAGCTCATTGAACTGCTGGAGAAAATAGTTCTGGATAACTCTGTATTCAGTGAACACAGGTGGGTGGAGGCAAAATGCTTGAAAACTTATGTAAGAGACTTAGTTGTAGCTAATGTAAAACTAACCTGATCAGCTCTAATGTAACAAGTGCCATTTAGTTTTGGGAAAGGGTATGTAACTTCTGAAGTTCTGACTTGCAGAGAAGAATTTGGGGTAGCAAAGAATGGAGTTTAGTGGTTTAATAAAAAAAAAATTGGATGTTAACTTGCATGCTTTTCTAATGCACTCAGTGACGTAAGTGACAAGACAGGACTTGCTTCAGCACTTCCTAATAGCTATTTGCTTTCTGTTTAGGAACCTGCAGAACCTCCTCATTCTCACAGCTATTAAGGCTGACCGCACTCGCGTCATGGAATATATCAACCGTCTGGATAATTACGATGCTCCAGATATTGCCAACATTGCTATCAGCAATGAGCTTTTTGAGGAGGCTTTTGCCATCTTCAGAAAATTTGATGTCAACACCTCAGCTGTGCAGGTATCTCATTTGCTTCTGACTACCCTGAAACAACATGACCTGAAAATCGTGTCCTGAGTGCTTCTGATGCACAGTTGTGTCCATTTTGCTTGAAGCTGGCACTCCAGTAAAACAAAACATGAATTTGGTTGGGGGGAGGGGGGGTGGTCCTTTAAACACGAAACTTTTGAGACTCAGTGCAGTGTTTGGACCTGGATTTACTAAGGACACTTCTGTACTGGCAGTTGCTGACACAGTCCCTTTCCTTCAGGTACTGATTGAACACATTGGAAACCTGGACCGTGCATATGAGTTTGCTGAACGCTGCAATGAGCCTGCTGTGTGGAGTCAGCTTGCTAAAGCGCAGCTTCAGAAAGGGATGGTAAAGGAAGCAATTGACTCCTACATTAAAGCAGATGATCCTTCCTCCTACATGGAAGTTGTTCAAGCTGCTAATGCCAGTGGTAGGACTCCTGACTTTTGTATAACTTAAGTGAATGTCTCTTCAAATACGAGAAGTTAATTGTGTTCAGTCCACTCCTTTTATAGCTTCATGGGGAAGCAGTATTAACTCTCCCCAACCTGAGAAATGGGGGTGTGGGGTGGGTGGGTGATACTAGTTTGATCTGAGGTTAAGTAAACTTGAGGGGTATCAGCCCAAGTCCACATATGAAGCAAATTTAGCCTCCCAACTAAGTAAGAACAGAAGTAGCCTACATTATGCTGTAGCTTTTTTCTCAAGTTATACTTTTCATACTCCTAAAAAGGTTCTTCCAAGCTTGACCAAATGAAACCTGAAATAGAAAAACTAGGTAGATGTGTGAGAACCAAGCTACTAAGTCTCTCCACTGATTCTGTACTTAAGACTAGAAGCTTGCCATTTGTTGTCAATGAGCCTCTTCCTCCTTTTTTCCCCCCCCCCCCCTTGCTGGAAGGAGAGCTACTAGGGGAAGTGGAGGGCAAGCTTTTGGACTGAAGAGCCGAACAGAAATGATTGCTCTTTATAGTCTGTCACTTAACTTCTGAAGTCTTTCTTCCCCTACCTCCCCAGGAAACTGGGAAGAGCTGGTGAAGTACCTCCAGATGGCACGCAAGAAGGCCCGAGAGTCGTATGTGGAAACGGAACTCATTTTTGCTCTGGCTAAGACAAATCGTCTAGCTGAGTTGGAAGAGTTTATCAATGGACCTAATAATGCTCACATTCAGCAGGTGAGTTTTCTCATCCTTGGCTGCTTTCTGCTGTGACCTTGGCTGGATTTGAATCCAGCCAGCAGACTTGTTCTCAGATTAGTTCAGAAGCACTAAAACTAATTCAGGTGGAGTTTGATAGTTGCAAATAGCTCTAGATGGGGCTGCAGCTCATGGAACAGTTGGGAGGGACATGCCTAGACTGCATGGTGTTCTAAAGACGCATGTTTCTCTGAAGTCTTACTAGTAAGACGAGCTCTTGTTGGTCTTGGAGTAAACTTAACTTATTTTGCTTAAATCTTAGGTTGGCGATCGCTGTTATGATGAGAGGATGTATGACGCTGCTAAGCTATTGTATAATAATGTATCAAACTTTGGCCGGCTGGCATCCACGCTAGTCCACTTAGGTGAATACCAAGCGGCTGTAGATGGTGCTCGGAAAGCAAACAGTACTCGGACATGGAAGGAGGTAAGCTACTACCTTGAATCTCAACATTGACCTGTTTCTGCTTGGGGAATTTAAATGTCTCAAGGGGTGGTTTCTGTGGAAGCTATAGGAAAAACTGGATCCTGGGGGATGGTTTGGTAATCGGCTACATGCATCTCTCTTATACTTTTCACTGGCCACATCTGAATATCTACTCAATTTTTCAGGTGTTTTTTGCCTGTGTTGCAGATGAGCTAGAAGAACTTATCAACTATTACCAGGTAACTGTTGGAAGAAAAAACTCAATCCACATACAAAGGTCTGATGTAACAGAGCCTTCTGGTTTCTAACTGGGCACAACTTAATCCAACTACTATTTCAGCTTTTGGCTACAGCCAGTCTATATAACTTTCTTCCTCTCTCCTTATGTAAGGATCGTGGCTATTTTGAAGAGCTGATAACCATGTTGGAAGCTGCGCTAGGACTTGAGCGTGCACACATGGGCATGTTTACAGAGCTAGCGATCCTGTATTCTAAATTCAAGCCACAGAAGATGAGGGAGCACTTGGAACTCTTCTGGTCAAGAGTCAATATTCCCAAGGTAAGCCTTAAATGCATCTCAAGAAGATCCAAGTACCCTTGATGTGGGGTTTTTTTTGGGGGGGGGGGGGGGTGGGGAGTTGGGTTGTAGAAGCTGGCTTACGTTCTGTAGAAGCCTGAAATGTTAATGTCTAATGTTGTACTTTTTAAGCTGTACTTTAATTGCTGTTGTAATATTGAATGAGTGACCTAGGAAATTATCAAGCAGTTGAGTACTGATGTGTTCCTTTCTCTCATTCAGGTGCTAAGAGCTGCAGAACAAGCTCACCTCTGGGGTGAACTGGTGTTCCTGTATGATAAATATGAAGAGTATGACAATGCTATCATCACAATGATGAACCACCCAACAGATGCTTGGAAAGAAGGACAATTTAAAGACATAATCACAAAGGTGAGATGACCACTTACCTGATTTGACCTGAAAGTATCTAAAGAATTGTTCTGCATATCTTTGATTTCCTTCCTGCCTCCCCATAAGAGGATAGCCACGCATCCAAAGGGATTTTCCTACTACATTTGGCATAATCCTCTACTGCACCCTCCCTGGGGTGGGGACCCATGAAGTAAAAAGCATGACACACCATGCTTTGTTTTACATATGTACACTGTAAGACTTGAATATCCATAGTACCCTGGGAAATGCACTAAGAATTCCTTATCATTTGACAGGTTTTGGGTAATACTCATTTAAAAGGAATGAAGTGGAGGTGCATGCAGAAAGTCCTCTAAAGTAGAGTGTGAGAGTCCTATAGAACTGATAAACGATCTTGTTTCCCTCTCTTAGGTGGCTAATGTGGAGCTGTATTATAAAGCAATCCATTTTTATTTGGAGTTTAAACCCTTGCTGCTCAACGACCTTCTGATGGTGCTGTCTCCCCGGCTGGATCATACTCGTGCTGTCACCTTCTTCAGTAAGGTAATGGCCATGTAGCCCATCCTTTAAAGAAATTTTGAAGTAGAGAACCTTTGGCTGTAGCGTTTTAAAAAGACCTCTCCCTCACTTTACCCAGTCACTGCCAGGAGGGAGGCAAAGCTGAACAACTTGGATTGTTTCCTGTACTGATCTCTTTAATCACCCTGCTTTCTCAAGGTTAAACAGCTGCCGCTGGTGAAACCTTACTTGCGCTCTGTTCAAAACCACAACAACAAATCTGTGAATGAGTCGCTGAATAATCTCTTCATTATAGAAGAAGACTATCAGGTTGGTACCCACAACCTTCTTTAATATGAACAAGTAACTACTTTAGACCTGGATGATGGCAATACTAGTATAAATTTGCAACTCTTGTCTCAGTCGCATCTTTTATATGGCTGCAGTTAACTTGTCAGTCAAATTTTTAATTGCTTCATGATGCACTGAATCTCTTAATGGGTACACATGTTATTGTTGCACTTGACTCTATTAAGGTAACTGGGTTGGTTTCTCTGAGGTGACTGATTCTCTTGCAATTCAGGCTCTTAGGACATCTATAGATGCCTATGACAACTTTGACAACATTTCCCTCGCTCAACGTTTGGAGAAGCATGAACTGATAGAGTTCAGGAGAATTGCTGCCTATCTCTTTAAAGGCAACAACCGCTGGAAACAGAGTGTAGAACTCTGCAAGAAAGACAGACTTTACAAGGTAAGATGGAGAACAAAGGCAGGGCAGACTTGAGTTCACGTAGCTCAATAGCTTGCTACAAGCTGGCACTAGTAACTTATGTAGTCTCCAGCACATGGAGCTGAATTCTTTTGAGGCTTTCTCCGTGGTCAGGTTTTATCTCTTTATTGTCACACTACTTGCTTTTAAGTGTTTCACTTGCTCCTGTCCATCTTTTTTTTTTTTTTTTTTTTTTTCCCACCCCAGTGCAAAAATGCTGGAATGGGGAAGTCTACAGCTTGTAGCTTGGAAGTCTTTAGTGGCAGTGCTCAGAAGTGAGCTATGCTTGGTATGACTGCCTCAGTGAAGATCTAGGTCCTTTGCCCCCCCAGTAGGTAAACTCCCTTCTTGGATCTTAAGGTGTCCATTTTTTTTTTTCTCTCCCCCCCCCCCCCCCCCGCAGGATGCAATGCAATATGCTTCAGAATCCAAAGATACAGAGTTGGCTGAAGAATTGCTGCAGTGGTTCTTGCAGGAAGACAAGAGGGAATGCTTTGGAGCTTGCCTCTTTACCTGCTATGATCTTCTGAGGCCAGATGTTGTCTTGGAAACTGCATGGAGGCATAACATCATGGACTTTGCCATGCCCTATTTTATTCAGGTCATGAAGGAGTACTTGACAAAGGTAAAAGCTTTTTGTTCAACACATTAAAGTGTTCGCTAGCAACTTGCTGTCATGTGAGTCGTCTTGTGAGACCTGTCTGCTGTTAACACTAATACTGGCTCTTTCCAAAGTCTGTCCTGTCTATACTTAATCTCCCCAAGATGGGTTGAGAACATGCTCATTATGTGATACCTGCTAGGGAAAATGTGAAATGCTCTATCCTAACGATCTGTGTCGGAACCTACACACATGTACTTGCCTGCTGACCTAGGCTGTGGGGATCCTAGGTCAAAGACATGGCTTCCTTTAATCAGAACTCGAGCACTTTGGTTTTTTTTTCTCTCCCCATCCCACATACTAAATTGCCCTTGCCAGCTGTAATACTCCTAGCCCAAGCAGTGGGCCTCGAATGTTTGTAGTTAGGCCCTTTAATCCTGTAGAACTGTCTGCCATGGTCTAAAGCTATCAACTGATGCCAAGGTATTTAAAAAGCTAGCTAACATGCCACTTGTTGCTAGCTCCCTGAAATAAAAACCAAATGCAGCATTTCAAATCTGGAATTACCTTTTGGTGTGGAGGGAAGACGCGTTTTACTTTGCTTTCATTTAAAAAAAAAAAAAAAAAAAAAAAAAGACTAGTGCCAAAACTAGTAATCGAGTACCCCACCATCTTGGCCTTGCTCTACTTTCCCCATCCCCTTCCTTGCTGCCTAGATGCTTTCTCCTTTTGAGGGATACTTTTTCTCTAGAATCCCATGTATATTTCTAAAGAATTGGGGTTTCTGTTGGGACTAAAGATGCCTACACTCGTTTGTAGGTTTTAACTTATACTCCCACAAATGACACTGGGGGTTTTGTCCATAGCTTGTTATTTTGGTTTACTTTTGACTTAGTAAAAAGGGGGGAAAAAAAAGCTTAACTGTTTTAGACTGCTTCTGTCTTACAGATTAAGGACTTGCTGTGACCTACCTCTTTCTAGCAAGAGGTCATAGCTGAATAAATACCTACATCTTTTAAAAAAGTTCCATTCCCTAACATAAAATTCTAAATTCATAGTGCTTGCACAGGATGTGCCCGTCAACACCTCAAAGGCAAGGCTTTTTTGGCAGTTAGCCACTTTTTTGTTTGTTTGTTTGGTGTTTTTTTTCTGCATCTGGTATGTACACTTGGTGATCTCCAAGCCACTAAGTGTAGCCCTTTGGTCACAAGGGGATAACTTGATTGGCCCGAATAGCTTAAGTCTAGCAGGCCACATCTTGCCCTTGGATTAGAATTCTTTAGTATTAGAACTAATTCCAACTCTGAAATCTACAAGGCATCTAATTTGTAGACATTTAAACTAGGCTGGTAACTGATACATAACTACTGTTTTTTCTTGATTGGGATAACCCCTGGTATACCCTGTTCTTGTTTTTTGTTTTTTCCTTTGGTACTTTATATCAACCTCCTCCCTAACTCCTTGTTTCTACCTTTTTTATATGCTAAATATGGAATTTTGATTTTTTTTTCTAAGCTGCACCTTCTGAATTCCTTTGCAGGTTGATGCAATAAAGGAAAAGGTGAAAGTTGATTCTTGTTTTCCATCTTTTAAGTGTGGAGGACTAAGTCCTAAGGAATCTGCATGAGTTTTTTTTCCTTCCTACCTTTACTACACTGCTGCTACTGCTTTTTTCCCAACAAAATCTCACTTAAAGCCTCTGCAAGTTGTTTAAATGCTAGTAGTTGGAGCTTTTAGGGTAACAGAGATACATTTGCTACTAATCGGCTAATAGATTTCTTCAGGCAGGGCATAAGGCGGCTGATCAGTTGGATCACAGTCCAAGGAATCTATTGTAAAAGATAAAAGGATGACGGCTGCACAGATCTCGATTGGATGAGAATTCCTCTTCTGAAGTAAGGAGTAGTAACTAAATTCGGCCACAGACTAATTGGCTTGAAAAACTTACTGTACGTGGGCATATGCTTTCCAGCTAGCAAAAGTTAGTTTTAAAGGACTGTGATCCAGTTTGTGATCTCGACAACTAATGTCTTGCTGACAATAGGCAGCAAAGATGCTAGCTGCTTCAGAAGAGACTCTTCCTCATGTTTCTTCAGGTGTCCAGTTCTTATGGTGCTAATCAATTTTTTTCATATTCAGTAACTTAATTTAAACTACTGAATACTCTGGTTCTTTTCCCTGTGGTAAGTCTCATGGCTAGTCAAAAACAAGACTGCCTTTCAAACTCCTTCAGCTTCTTTGAGAAATCCACTCCTGTCTCTTTTTTTTTCCCTCTTTCTTTAATTTAAAAAACAAAAACAAAACAAACCTGTAATGCTAAAACTTGTGCTCTTCTGAGGCCACTCTGACACTGGCCTATTGCTGTCAATTATGCCTGCCCTGAGGGCACACTCTGGCTCCTGTCCATCTTTTTCCTGTACCTTGTGCCTACTTCCAACTTTTTTTTCTCTCCCTGGAATGCAGGGTTACACTGATGTAGACTTTATTTTTTTATTTATTTAATTTTTTTAAGGAGCATAGTACTAGTCTGTTTAAATTGTGGTTGGGCAGAGGGCAAGCACACAATGAGGAATGTAATGCAAACTGCCTCCTTGCTGTACTTATGCAACCACCTTGGTCACCACTGGAACTGGAGGCTAACCTGACTAAATGCATAGCATTAAGGTCCTTCAGCAGCTAGTAGGTGAGGCAGTACGAGTGTGTGTGAAAAAAGGTAATTGAACTGCAGTGTCTTGCATTATTAAACAAAGCATGTGTAGCAGTCATTGCAATTACATCCCACTATTCCTGAAGCTACAAGGCATTGCTGGGGGCCGCGTGTGGCTTTTGGGGGGGAGGCTGTATAGCAATCATCTTCAGACCTCACTTCTTGCTTCAGTACTCTTGCCTTTTTTCCATGCACACATGACACCAAAATAACATTTGAATGCATGTTACTTTTCCTCTGCAGCTTATTGCAGTCTCTGTGGAAAAGCCTTTTCTTATGTAGACTTAACCTACTAATAACATATAGGGTACTGAACCCAGTGATGCTTAAGCAAGCAGGTGTATAAAGACCAATCTTTCAAACCCTCTTAAGTCTGTTCATGAAAGTAATGTCTGCCCCCTGTCCAGAGGGAGGCTTTGAAACTAGGTCAGAAAGACCAACTGGAGACTTCAGGCTAGGCAGATGGATGGTAACCCTAAACTACACTGCTTACCTGTTGCAACCCTGCTAGTATTGCACTGTCCTAAGCAAAGCCTCTTGGAGCTGTGCTTGAGCATCCCAGTACTTGCAGCCATTCTAGTTCATTCCATGTATCTCGCACCGATGTAACGTGGTGACAACTGTGGTAACACTTTATCGCAGACATCCTGTGAAATTACGGAAAGCTGGCTTTCTGTACTTCCATGTCATACTTTCCTGGAAATGGGGGGAGTTGGGTAGGGGGGTCTGCCAATGACCCCTGATCAGCAGGAGTGAATGATAAAAGGTCAGTGGCCCAATACTTGGTTTTACCAGGCCAGTCAGACTGAATGGTAGTTGGTCAGAAGGGAAATGCAGCTTCATGAATTACCATGTAGAAGAAAGTCTGAACTACCACTAGTTCAAGGTACAGTTGTGCACTTGCTTTGGAGACCAAATGTTTGGGTGTTTAGCATAGTTAACCATGAATGTGCTTTTTAAGTATTCTTCCCCCCCCCTTGTTTAAAACACTGCCAGGCTGTCTTGACTTGGTATCAAGGCTAGGATTGTGTTCTTCAGAGATCAATTGGTTCAGTTCCTTATGGCTTAAGGAGAATTTTTAATAGATTTGATTTTGAGCAATGCCTCCACATCTCCTAAGTAGCAATGCTCAGCTTTAACTCATGACACCAGGGTTGTTGCAGTGACTTGGAGCTTCATCCAACTAGTACTGTGGAGTGTCTTGGATAGACCTTTTTGAAGTATTATTATATTCCTGATTTTTTTTTTTTTTCTTTTTTTAATTAAGCTTTTTGTATTCAGGGAAGACATGGAGTAAGTCTCTTTTTAAAAGCCTTAGCTTAGAATGGTCAAATGACACTCCCCTTC